TGTCAAGCATCGCATTCAACCGCTGTAGGACAACGCCACATATCAAGTGCCACAACAGAAATGGCGTTGAAGTGAAGACAGGCATAAGACAAGGTTACCTACCGTCAATGATAATACACCTGATTGCGGTGGAATATATTATACGGCAAACCATGGAAAGCGGAAAAAGACATCTATTCTCTGAACCCTTTAGAAAACTGCAGACATCCTGGACTCTGGGGGTGATTTAACTCTAATATTAAACAAACTCGAAGACTTTCAGTGCGAAAGCGACAAGCGAGAGTGGAATGCAGGCGGCAAAAACAGAACTTCAAATGACCATCGAAAAGACGGAATTGATGATGATACCTAACCACTACCGGCAGTGAAAAGCAGCAATCACTATCAACTGGGATTTTTAGAGGAGACCACTTTTTTCATTTATTTCGGCAGCATTTTTTCAACTTCAGTCAGGACGAATGACAATGTTACAGAAAGTAAAAGATGGCCCCTCATTATTCTGAAGTGCATGTGCAGATCACACAAAATCTTTGTGGAAATTCATAAAGATGGTTACACGCATTTTCGCGTTCTCGTTTAATTTTTACGTATATGAACAACATCTAAGCATGTTAAGATGTCACATTTGAAATAATACATACAAGTGAGATAGCAGAAGATTAGCACTTACAAATTTTTGCTACAGAAATGGAAGAAATGAGGGAATTATTCAAATAAATAAACAGTATTAAGTAAATCTTTTAGAAGAACAACAAAAACACCTCGATTTAGTGAACTTAAAAAGTTGGTCGAAAAGGTAATTTTCCCTATTGAACACTTATCGACATAAATAGCCTAATGGGCTGCATATACGCAGAACATTTCAATATGGGTACAGAAATTTATTTATAATAAGGCTTTGTAACGGATATCATCCAGGTATACACAGGTTTATTCTGTTGGAAAATTAATCTTCTTTATTTCCACACTTGTTTATGGCTTTCATCTGACTCAACAAAAACCATTATGCACATTTATTGATGAGACATCGCCTTCAGAAAAAAATATATTTGGTTTCAAAGTAAACGCAAGTAAACTGATACTTTATATAAAACACTTCCAAAATCAATACAAACATAGTTGTTATCGTTGTTATATATGGTTCACACAAACATGAAGAAGAGTTTCATTGTTTTAACACCAAGAGATTTTCCACCTCTTTTGATGATTTTTCACCCATAAGTTCCGACAGCTTTTAAAACCAGCTGTCCTCAACAAACGATTGTTGATTTCGTATATATGTGTGGAAAAACCACTGTGAATTTTTAGCATCTGCATTTTCTGTGCATCAGTGTAGCACATGAAGATTTTTGGCTATGCCTCGGTTGACTTTTCGTTAGAATACTGATATTCATGTACCTTAGTGAGATTTAATTTTTATTAAAGAAAGATTCTCTGTGTTAGCGCATTAGGTTGGCAGTATGGAAACTGCGTGCGTCAGTGGGAAAGCGGTTAGGACGCTCGCCGACCATGCACATGGTCCAGGGTTCGATTCCGGCCGACTCACTCCTTTACCTCGCTAAGACAGAAATAATGCTGGTAAAGAGGAAAGGCTGGGCATGAGGCTAACAACCCCATCCTGTAAAATTAATCAACACTGCTACAGAAACTTCAAGCCACTAGCTTGAAGCTCTGTATTCCACTGTGAACGTGAAGGAAAATAAATGGAAACTTTATAAAGTTAAAAACAATATGCCAAAGGTTTCTTTTTTGTAGGTGCTATTCCAAAGTAACCACTTCACAATTAATCAGTATAAAGAAACCCTTCCGCGCATGGTTTAAGCTCGAAGATAATTTGAAACGCGAACGTGGAAGTCTTTTCATTCTACTTTCTTCAGGAGAATTTCGGATACTCTATAAAAAACAAGATGCATTTAAGAAAACACTAATGTTCTCAGCTTGTAGTAGCCTCGGTTAAATGCACCATAATTAACTCAATTTCTCACTTTTCCCATGAAAGTTTGACCCCGCCTGTCTGTGAACCATACTTTTTCTATTTGTTTTAGAGATGTAATAAGGTTCAGGTATCTGAGAGCAAGAATGATATCATATTCCTTATCACGTTATAAAATAGTCAACAGTTATGCCAAAAATTCGTTGATGTATGGCGAAAATTATAAAGAATACATCGAATACACTCACTTTCACCAACTATTCAAATTCACATATGCAATACAATTGTGGAAGTGATGATAACATTTGTGTGTTAAAAGCTAATCAAAAGAATAGGCAAAATATGTTTTCCTAATAATAAAATCTTTTAGAGAATTTCTAGAAGTTAGAAACACCAGATTATGTTTGCATATAATAATTTTTCGCATATAATCATTTTTCTTTCTTTACTAGCATAGTGTAATATGCTTCCAAATTACAAGCTTATTAATATATACGAATATTAATAAGGTTGTCCCAAACAATTAGTCGGACGAGCAAAGAAGTGTGCTTAATTAGCAAAAATACTTTGGTGTAAAGTGGTCACTTGTCACTGGATGTGCTTCTCAATCTTTAACAGCAGAATGAAAACTGTTTCTGCGCTGCATTCTTCAAAACATCATCTCTAAATAGGGTTATTTCAAATAATTTATGTATCCTTATAAATTTTAAGTACTACTATAGGTGCTGCTTCTGTGCTTATAATATGAAATTTAAGGCCATATATCAGACATCTTCGCAGTGTATCTCATTATCCCCGGTGAAACGAAGATTAAAATCTCCAAGAATTTTTATTCGAAATAATGAATTGACTCTATTTACATAATCACTGATTTACTGTTAATTATTTTCATATCTACCCTTTGTTATGCTTTCTTATTTGTTCCACTTTATCCTACTAACAACCAGAGAGTAGTATGAGGTACACTGTCTTGTCCTTGACCATGAATTTATTTTTCTACTCAAATTTAACATACCTAGTGTATTCATACACTTTTTGGTGGTATGAATTAACTCCTATATTTGCAGTGTTTGTATGTGCTTCTAAGTTGAATAGTGTTTCTCCGAATCCCTTTATTCTTTGTCTGTTATTTTCGCTCTGTTTCATTCGACCATGGATAGCACCAGACTCAGCTTCGCTATATTTGTTTTCATTGACGCACAGTGACTGTGAATTCGCAGCCGTTCAGCCACACACCTCATAATTTCTTTATATATATAACTTCCTTTTTATGTATATTATAGTTTCGTATTCTATGCGATCCTGTGTGTTTGCGATTCAAGCGTCTTTCAAAGTTTGACTTCCTAGATTAGTTGGATTAACAATCCAGATTCCTTAGAAGAAATTTACTTTGGTGACATGTAATATATATATATATATATATATATTACATTGCTTACAAATAACCAAAATGCTGATATATAAGCCGATGTCCTCAAATTCGAATGTTGTGAATCCAGTTTAGCAAGGCTGTCAGTTAAGAGCAGTTTACGGTATTCAAATGTAATAATGAAAGATGAGACACATCAGGATATACCATATTCATACAGGGTGAAAAGCACTCACGACGACAGACAGACAAGAAGAGGAATATTCTATATTAACTAATGATTCCTTCATTCACTTTTTTGGTTGAAAAACAATGAAGTAGAGAAAACTTCTATTTTGAAGATTTCAAGGATATATCTTTTGAATCCTGAAATTGACTAATCTCAGATGATGAGATGTATTTTCTACGTAGTTGGCTATCAACATATCTTGTTGACGTTCAAGAAAACACCGAAGCAAATATACACATCAGTCAACAATCAGACCATTAATACGGATGTACACACAAAAATGCATAAAAATCGTAATATGATGTTTGGTACTTACATCCTGACCATAACAAATTGAGTATATTTTGAAATTATCATTTTAACGTTGCTTTTCTTAAGTGAAATGAGACAATATTTATAAACTGATATTTATGCATATGACTGAAGTTTCAGTTAAGTGAGATAAGATATTTACGGCTCACCTAATGATGCGGAAGGTTGTGCGTCGGTGGCACAGAGCACCGCGAAATACAGTAACTTTATCAATAATAAATAGTCAATTAGCTTTGAATGCAACAAATTCTATACACTTTTTTCGATGAAAGTGGAAATAGAAGGTAAGGATTTTGTTGTGAAAGTGAATATTAGAAGAACATAAAATACCTTAATTGGAGAGACGTTTATGAGGTTTGACTCTTAAGTTTGTAGCCGTTCTTCATAATTAGCAGCTATAGCATTCATAAGTGAAAATTCGTTGCCGATCCTCCCTGTTCAAGATGACTTGTCTAGCTGAAGGCTCATGGTCACACATCTATCCCAATTGGCGCCCCATCGTTTTACGTTCAATCATCCGTTCGTGCACAATTACTAGCTGGTTAAATAGTCATCGTCTCACTACGATTTGATCCTACAATATACTTTGTATTTTGGACGACCACTACGATGTCCTACCTTGCGTATGCTTTATGCGGGATGAATTTTCTCCATCATATCTATGTCGTTATTAGATATTGCGTCGGGATACATCAGACTATCCGTGGGCGTTAATACTCTCAGTCTCTGAAAGTTGTTCATATCTCAGTAAGTTCTCTAACATACACTTGATTAACGATCGAATTTGAAATGCTTGTGCCAGCTTGATGAAGAGGTAGTATAAATTACTGAGTTGAGGGGAAAATTTCATTTCCCAACAATAAATGTATTGTTTCCTTGCATTCTATATACCATTAGTTTCACAGTCATATGTTCACAATTTTTTCATTATCTGGTAAAAAGTTTTGTTTATATCCAGACAAGTTTACTTTTCTATAAAATTAGTAATGTTCTTATTCTTAATGCGTAAGACCATGCACAATTATCTGTGGTATTCACGTCAATCAAATTGAAGATATTTGCAGTGTATCTACTTGCATCACCAATACTTTAATTTCATCTTAACATAAATATTATGAAACTTGATCAAAGTATTTCACAAAGCAATTTTCCACTCACTGTAATACGCTGAAGATATGTGTTTATAATTCGGCAATATAATAATCACCATTAAAATATGCATCTGTAAATATATAAATATGTATAAGGACTGAAAGCTTCTATGCGTCAATAAAGCATTGAGACAAGCCCTCGTTTTTAAAATACTCATAGAAATGCCCTACCTACCTAGCACAACATTTGTGGTGTACTACGTTGTTAAAATCCTGCAGTTTGAATTTATCTTTTAGTTAATTTAGGACATTGTTTGTAACAGAAAACCGCGAAGATCAATTAGTCCTGCATGAACATTTGTGGTAAACACAGAGAGGCGCAATACTACCGCTCAAATGCCTACCGGATAATATAAATTGTATTTCCTCTATAAAATAAGTCTGTCTTAATTACATGCGTAGTAGGTTACTCCCAGTAGACATTATCTTTTTCTTATTAACTGTAAGATTGTTGAATTGTCTGTCGACACCCTCAGATCATAGAGACTGCTGATACTTCTAACATATGAGGCATTTCCACATCAGCTAAAAGATGATTATCTATAAATAATTTTTATTGGTATGTTGATGTGTAATGCCGTGATTTTTCTATTCCTAAATCCATCAGTTAAAGAAAATTCTGAAATGCTTGTTACATAATCACTTTTTGCACATATTAAGATTCGCATTGAGATTTTAATCCAAATTAATGCGAATTACTTAAGCTTTGGTGTGGTGCTCATGCAAATAATAATGGCATATTCTATGCAAAATTAGTAAAATCACCAATGGTAAAGCATGGTGTGGAATTTAATGGGTGAAAGTACCTATCAAGAGGTACTATCATAGATCGGCTGTCTCATTTTCAATATTGGGATGTTGATTGCAATAATGTACGTCAACTTTATTCTAACCAATACATGAGTGAAATTCATGTAATAATTGTAAGTGGATTTCATATTTTATTACAAAGTGATAACGTTTTAGCTGGATAAGTAATGTTAAACTTACTTGCTGTTCAAAAACATTTGGAATAAAGTCAATTGATTATATCTTGACAATTTGCATTAAAACTAATCGTTTCGCGTAAAATAATGAGTCTCATAAATAAAAACATACCACCGCCTCACACGTAGCACAACTAAATCTGCATATAGCTCCAACCAATGTGTATTTCGAGCCACTATATTTACAGGGCTTTTGTCAACATTATGTTAATCACTGCGTCTGGTGATCAAACACAATCTTCAAGTGGCAGCCAGCTCCCGAATACTTGAGTATTCGCTGAATGATACTGAATATCTCAATTTATGGTGAATAAACTCAATCAAATTGAAATTAGGGTTTTCATACAACCAGTTCCTTTCATCAGATTGAGTAAAGAATGAAAAGACATATTTTCAGGATATTACGAACTCGTTTTATTTACTGGATTCTCTTCAGCTGCGTACATAGTAGACAAGGTCAGTTATGACTAACAAACTTTTCATCAAAGGTTTCACAATCACTTCGGGTTATGAGTGAAAATTATAGGCAACAAATGTGATGTAAGAATACACATTATTCAGAGTGACTATTTATGCGACTATTTATATAATAATTAGGCAAGGGGAGTAGAGTTCAGAATAGTAAGGTAAACTACACCATTGACCCCTATAATCCCGAACGCCCTATTATCTTATGTGTAAATTCCCTCTGTTGTTCTTCGTCACAAGTTGCGCCTGATCTATTTTTGTTTCCAAGTAAAATCCCAACTCTTACCCTCTCAATAAATTATCATAGTTACTGTTTTCACACTGAATAATTCGTCTACTCACACAATCTTCAGAATTATATTGCTTATACTTTCTATCTAAAATTGCGATCATCTTGAAAAGTATTGTCAGAATTTCTCGTCTTATGACTGATTTTGTTTGAGACGTTCAAAGCTGAAGAGAAGCCTCGAAATAAAACATAGTCATACTACTCTGCAAATATGTTCGTCCTTCCTTCATAAAATTAGGATTCTTAATGTTCACAGCATTGAATTTACCTGCTTTTTGTTAGACACTATTCGAGATTTGGTGATTTCTTAGCTACCTTTAATGTCTAAAAACAACTGTAAGATATGAGAAAATAAGATGTACAAGCAATGCGTTCAGAGCTCTTAAAAATGTCATATATCTATGAATTCACTAAAGCGAACTAAAGACTTACGGCCCACTGACATGCGATTAGAGGTGAGAAATAACAGCCGAATGTTATTTTACTAATAATTTCGAGATTTTTATAAACAGTGGTAAAGTCAATTTATGTGTAAATCAAATATCCGATTGCAGATATGCACGATAAATATTTGTGTAAAATTAGTTAGGATTGATATGAGTATCTTCGAATTGTGCGATTGAGTGAGTGATATCTTTACCCAATAGTCGGACGCCAGTGCTACTGAAGGCGTGGATGCAAATGAATGTAGCCAAAATCGGAAAGAATGTCACCGTGTCAAACTGCTACAGAAGACAGCATAAACCGATTCAATAACTGTAACAATGTCAGTCTCCATCCAAAGCTAACTTTTATGGCAGTATCGTAGGAACGAAGACTTCTTTCGAAGCAGGCTGGTATGAGGAATAAGAAGTAATACAAGGACCGAAATGGCATCAGTGAGTATCATCGTTGTACAGGACTTGATGCAACAATAAAGTTTTTGCTCAATTTCATTGGTTGAGAAATAGTTTTTCGCATCATCGACTGCGAAGTATCTTATTGACAACTTCACCATCACAAAGTGCAGTACAACAAATATTTCTACACCTTAGTGAATAGCTATATGGAGGTGCCACCTTACAACTGGGGTACAACAGAGAGATAAACATTGTTCGAAAAGTGAACGAAATAATGCCTCGATCACCCACTATCGCAGATGATATTCTCAATGTCATGAAGTGAGACACACGGCAGACCATTGCGAATTAAAATTTGGGCAAACGTTTGGTCGACTAAATTACTTTGAAACACATGGATTTTACAGATGATTTACTTCATCCCGTCGGACAAACTCAAACATTCTTAGTAAGAAATCAAAAACCGGTTGGAAGAGGGAGTAATTAGAAGATTTCAGATAAAACGGAGGGAGACTAGATGATGAAGGTATACAGTCATGAACAAAAGCACCAACCTTCATGATTGTGAGAAATGTGAGGAAAGTCATCTTTTACCCTCTCCAAATTTCTGTTTCACCTCTATTTATATTTGACATTTCTAACCGGCTACTCATGCAGTTAACACGGATACATTTCTGCTAGTCTACTCTATTCGAATTTCACACACATACATTTTTTATGTTATTTCATCTCAAAACTTGTCTTCATATGATTTCAATCTTTTTAAATAATTCCTATGTATATGTCTATATCGGCATTAAATCTAAATAATATGAAATGTAGGTTTTGAATTAAAAACAAAACTATTACAACAGCTAGTATGATCACAGGCATTGATCTGGCTCAAAATATTACCAAAATCAAAAAAACCTATCATTGTGTGTAAACTGTTGAAATACGCTTATAATGTACTTGGTCTATTTCACAATGCTCAAACTTTTTACTAGCATTAATATTCGATTGTTTTCAATAAAGTTAAGCTACGATGGTCCCTATATTCATTTCCTTTATAGAAAAGCCGACTACTTATTGCCACATTCATGGATAAGTAATACAATACGTGAAAGTGAAAATGTGATACAACACTTTTTCAACTTACCATAGTTAGCCCCATGGGTTATGCACAAAATGCAGATAAGTAGTAACAACTCTTTAAAGAAATTCATTGTAATTAAAGTGCTAACTAACTCCGGCTGTCTTTATATACTGAAACCTATAATTGTTTACAATCTTATCTACAACTTGAGTGATATGTTTTCCTTTGAACTTTAAAGTTGTTGTGCCAGTTTCGATTATTTTCAATCATTGAATGTCAGCACACTAATAACACAATTTCTTAGTTTTCTCATCTCCTTTGAAATATTTCTAATTCTGCCGTGGAGAGATAAATAAAGTTTCCAGTGATTTTGTAAACAACTGACAGCAGACAATTGACACAATTTTATTAATTTTTTATCATCTGCTTCGAGATACTATTAATTTTACAATGGACATAAAAGTAAATTTTACTAGCTAATCTGTAAACGAAGAGACTAAAAATTGACTTTTAATAAAAATCAACACGTAGAAATTTGTGAAGTTTTGTATTATGTTAATAGAGAGTTCATACTACTTAAATGAATTTTTATTCCATTTTGAAATTTTTATTTTAATACAGTGTGTGAATAAAGTAATGAAAATCCTTGAAGAAGGAAAAAGTTGTTCCAATACTTGAATATCAGTCTGATGCGCACTAACCACTGACTCTATTAATGTAGATAGTTTCCTGGGATCTAGTGAGAAGTCGTAACCAGTGGACTACAGAAGGTCGGTTGTGAGGACATAAACTCTCAGATGACATTGCCTAATCGTCGCGATATTTTGTGAGTTGGCTGAAGTTCGAATTCATGGACTTGGCAGGTCCCAGTTAGCTAATGTTACAGTAGCCTGGCTTGTAACCATGAGGTCGTTCGTTCGAAGCCTGATGTTGCGTGCGCAATGTGAAGAGTCCCAAACAGCCGTGTATTTCTCCTGGGATTTCAAATTCTTCTCTAACCTATGCCGCTTCAAAATTATATCCTGTAACTGATCCATTCTTTGTTTGCCCTTTATCTAAGCGTCTGCATACAATCTTAAAAATAAATAACTACACCTGAAACTAAGAATTCTCGAATTTTGAAGTTGCTGAAAGTATTCATGTATATCCTTTGTATGATATGGTTGAAGTTTCCAGATTGAGACAAAACTTGTGGGAGCAAGTGTAGCAACTCAACTTTGAGGGGCACAAATTATGAGATCACTTAGGTCACTGAAAAACTGTTGATGAGCATTCATTTCATTTCATTCATGTAGATATCGGATATATGAAGCGTGAGGCTACAGAAAAACAATGTGTCTATGTTTGGAAATAAGCAAAAATGTAACATAGAAAGTAATGTTATCCGATAAGGTTAAAAGAAGAGTTATCAAGGTTGATTAATACTTACAACAGCTACTTTTCAATTATGAAAGTTAGCCTTTTACCATCTGATAACCCTGACATCTGCAAACGTTGACAATTTTCAGCTTGCTTGTTTGTTTAAAAGTTCTATGGATCTCTTCCTTATGTAATATTTCATTCATTTGTCTAAAACCTATGCTGCTCAGAGATTTAATTACTCTAAATCACAATCATTCTGTCTTCAGCTTACATACTCTGGAATCTGAATTTTCAATGAATATGAGAATAGAAATCCATGCACCTGGCTCTTTAGGTGCCTTATGGTACAATTTCACGGTGGTAATCTTCCATGAATTTCACTTCCAGGAACGCTGAATTTCTCAGAATTGTAAGCACGCTTTCTCGGTTCATGTGTTTATCAAAACATTTCATCGGAAATCCTGTTCTGCTAAGAAGATCACGAATACTGCCAGGTACTTTGCTGAGCATTACTTCTTGAAAAATATCTCCAGCATAGTTAACTAAACATTCATCGTTTGTGTGATAGCGGAAATATACTCAGAAAACGAATATATTCACCGGTCGTTGTAAGTTTAACGTTTATGCTTCTGCATATTCTCCCATCAATTCACTTTTATTACTAAAACTACCAAAAACGAGACACAGGCTTTCCATTCGTCTTCTTTAGTTAAATAACGGCTGCTCGGATTTTCGTCTCCTCTCTTTTATCTGTTAAAAGTACAAATTTATTATCTTTATTAAAGATGATGAAAACTCAGAAGACATTTTAGTCTTTCAGAGGGTCATTCTCTAGCTTCACCAGGGCGAATTTCTCTAGGACTGTCCTTGATGATTTTTAGGATCAAACTGCAGGCCGTAAATTCTATCTAGACAAAACAAGAAACACCCTTATATTACCAGAAAGATGCGAATATGATTCACAGGTGTACAGACGGTATTCAAGATAAGATCTGTGTAGTGTGACAGGCGGCGAGATAATAAATGGTAGGGACTGAGTAAAATAATTCTGTTTACTGATTATAAAGGATCGTGGGACTTAATGGAAAGGAATACTGTTGAGGAATATTTAGAAGACATGATACAAACTGAATGATGCCAAGGCATGATTAATTGTAATATATTGACTTCCGAATGCGTACTAATGAGTTGCACAGTCCGTGAAGAGAAGTTTCATTAGCGTTGTGAATTTTAGATCACAGTTGTGTTAAAAAGGAAGTGTTGATCGCGCATAAACTGAAACAAAGTCAAATACTTAAGTTGAGTAATGTAATACAACTGGCGGGACTGAGTAGAATTCAGCTGAAATTAAACGGAGGTCAAGTCAAGATCAGTGTTAATAAGATTTAGAAATGGACCATGCAAAAAGAAAAATAATACAACAAAAACAAAAGAATTGTGTACTGGGTGTCAAGACATATCTGGCCCACAGTAGGTTTTGTGACGGTACGCACCTCTTACGTTGTGGATCTGATACTCCAGTCGCCATCACTTCCTCTGTTGGAGAGGTTTGATTCATACTAATTACATAAGATCCTTCCGAACCCTGTAGATGAATTTGAAGTTTGTTTGAGGGTTCTTATGGAATCCAGATTCCGCCAGAGATGCGGAGGGATCTTTTTCTCCTTCATAAAGCCATGAGGGTACATGTTGGACGATATGTTGGGATAGTAAACGCTGAGTACTGCTGACATACCTAGCATTTAAATGAGTAGTGGTAAATCCCCCTTGACGTCCACGCGAATCATTGCTTTTGTAAAGAAAGAGGGTCGGATACCAGTTGCAAACAAGAGATTTCTCAATAAACGCGAGAGTCAGTTTCTGAGTATTGCTTCCAATGAGCTGGATTGAATCGTATATTCAGATTGATACGTCTTTTAGGGGCAAATAGTGTGATGGTTTTATTGCTTAAGGTTTCATGAATTTTATGCTAAAACACTCGTAATAGCCGGTTTAAACAATTACTTTCAAGTATTGGCAAGCGTGGAGTTATTTTCACAATATTCAGCATCCCTATCACACAGTCTAACCTACAAATATCATGAACTATGTGACTCAATGAACGGATCGGTTTTGCTTTCGCTTGCAGAGACAACAAACTATGTACGTTTGTGAAGTGACCATTCCATATCGGCTTTCTGTGAGTGGATCACCTTAGTGTCCCATGTTGTGCATGTCATATTCGTTGAACGTCCAGAAAAGATATTTTCGAATTGAACTCCTTCTCATATGTGAAGTGGATTACAAGTTAGTAGATGCTGAAAGAATAGATAATGCCTTCCGTATTCTCTTCTTTATTGTGTACAGTTAAAGTTCCATTTATGTATCTCTTCTAAAACTCAAAGGCCTCAGTCATTTTCTTGAAGTGTATGCTTTCGATTTTCTACGTGGAGAAATCTGCAAGCCATAGACCTGGTGATGAATCGACAGATTTACTACTCTTAGTTTTTCTGTATTTTTAAAGAGTGAAACAGATTTATACACTTACATGTAACGTCAAAATGAGTTATTTCAAATAGTCTTTAGGAATTCCAACATTCGCCCCTTCTGAATCAATATATTAGCACATGCAGAATATTATTTCAGTCAATGGAACGCTCTTTAACAATTGTTCCACATCTAATGAAAGCACGATTGCATTAGAAACGGTGACATATTCAATACAATTTACAAAATCAATTGAATCGTAGAGTGAGTGGCAGGCGGTCTACCTTGTGATTCGTCCTACTTGGTTCGCTAACCATTGTGCAGTTCTATGATAATATGAATGCCCAAAATAGGTCGAAGAGATGTGCCTTACCTGTTTACTTCCGGCAGTCTATAGTTTCAGGGCATATTTCAGCCAGATAGTCCCGGGGATTCGAAAATTTTGAGACTAATGAATAATTCAGTATTCAGCTTTCTACCCCTTATTATCTACTCCCCTTAAACTTAACTTCTTTCTATCATGGTTGAATTCTACTTGATACCGCCAGTTATAATCCAACAATATTTTTAATTTTAATTCAGTTTTTACTCTATTATGTAATTGTTATCTGAACTTTACTATTCTTATGATACACTTTGGTAAAAATTCCACTGATTGATAAGCGAATTGACCTTATATATACAATCATACCTCTCGACAAAGATATCGCTGAGAATAGTAATTGTGAGAATGCATATTCACATTTATTTATACGATGGATACAATCTTTTCCTGTCATTCATACATTTATTGAGAAACGGCCGATACTTATTTTAGTAGTGGTTCATGTTACTAATACTCAAATAATCCTTTCATATTTAAGGTACACATATGACACTTAAAAAGTTCAATAGAGTTATGTGGGTATTTCAAAGGCATCGCATAAATAATAAGGTAAGAAATCATGCTCCAATTAAATCGAAATAAAAAGGCTCGATACAGACTATTCTGAGATTTGAAATCATAACAAAAGTAAGGTAAAGTAATGCTCACTTGAATTCTGTATGAATAAAAGCAAGGGACGACTGAAATTCTGCTTCATTTTTTTTATTGTCAGCAAAATAATTATTGACAGTACTTTCTCGAGTAAAGATAGAGAGATTTGAGCACAAAAGCTGAACAACATAAGCTCTCAACGCCCATTTCATAGGTAATTTTGCTGACTATACACATTAGTATATTAATTATTTATTTTTAATGCAGTCATAGATGTTTTTAGTTATTTCTCACTCACGTAAACAATTGAATAAGTTGTGCGTAATCG